TTTTTAGTACGTGGGTGGCGCACTTAGCTATTCAGTTAATTATTTGATCCACAGTACTTTTTTTTTCTGCCTCTAGATGTTCTAAATCTGATGGTGAGCATAGTTACAACATATAAATTAAAATAAACAGTGTAGCGCTAGTAACATTAAAAAATATATATATGACTATTAAGTGAATCAGTGATTACAATACACAAACTAAATACACATCCCCTAAAAATATATATCCAGGATAATGAACAAAAGAATAAATAATAGTGTCATGCGTGAATTCCCTCGTGGGGAATATCCAGTGCATAAAGTGACAAATACAATCTTAATTCAATAATGTGACAAAAAACAAACTGGTGCTCAAAATTGGTGAACAAATAATCAATTGCAAAGTCCAAAAAAATGTAATAATAATAATGCGATGCTTTATGGTGGTCCTCCCACTTCACTCTTCATGCAAAAGTAATGTGCAGTGTGCGTGATTCACACGTGCCAATCCTTTAACAGCCAGAATGCCCCCTCACCTCCTTACTTAGACCCCACAGGGCCAGCACGCTTTGAGGATCAAGCGATCCTATCAGAATGGGTTCCTCTCAGGATTTCCCCTCTCGTCTCCAGCCTCCACCAGACTAGCAGCCAGCTCCTCCCAGGGTCATAATGAGACACAAGCAGAGACCCTCCATAGTGCAACCAGTTTTTATTAGATCAATTGACAGATAAAAAGAATTCCACTCACATTAGCCACGACTTTTTCCAGCTTCCTACCACATGCTATGGGTGTACTGCATGGGTATTCACAACAGGGTGATCCAATATGGCCCCCACGCTGGAAATGACATCACCGCGTTAACGGAAGTTCCTCCCCACGTACCGACGCGTTGCGTCACGTTCAGCACGAAACTTCATCAGGGTCACCCTGATGAAGTCACGTGCAAAACGTGATGCAACGCGGTAGTAAAGTCTCTTAAAAAAAAGGTATGTCATAATGTGCTAGTATGCATTGCATACTAGCACATTACGAAATACTTACTTTAAAACAAACCCCCCCAGCATCACTCCTGAGTTTGTGGGTTCATATACTTCACTTTTGAAAAAAAACCTCTGTATATAAATGTGCAACAATAACAAACACAACTCTATCCTGTATATTGTGCAAAATATATCACACAAGTGCAAAATTATTACTAAACGTTCATAGATGTGAAAGGTGGCAGATCTCATGCAACCCCTTCACCACTACTTCCACTTCAATCACCATAAAAGTGACTTGTGCAATTAACCAAAGTTGTCTAATTCGAAAGGTTCAACCAAATATTGGTGCTGATCAACCACCACCTTGTAGCAGCTACTTCGATGAACCTCCACCGCACCAGTGAGCAAACAGGTTGCTTAGTAGATGGTTTGGACCTGCCAGCAAGGCCCAAACACGCTTGATGTTATCCCTCTGGCAACACCAATCCACTGACACTGGCCTCCAGTGAAGGTACAATAAACTACTCCACAGAAAAAAATGTAGACGTCCGAAACAATCACTCCCGGTATCAGCCGAGGTGTCCACACAGAAAGTCACAATCACATTAGCACATGAAAGAAAAGATCTCCATAGTGCATAGGTCCTTAAAATTTGATTAACCACTTGCCTGCCACCCTATAGCAGAAATACTGCTACAGGGCGGCAGGGCTGCGCAAGATCACGTATATATAGATGATTTTGCATTTCTGGGTAGGGTACCCCGCCGCCATTGGTGGGTCACGGCCAGTGATTCCCTGCCAGCACCCGGCAATCGCCGAGTATCACTGACAGGGGAGAGGTCTGAACGTAAACAATACAGATCTCTCCCCTGACAGCTCCTGCACACTGCTTTGTATTGCTCCGCATAGCAGAGCAATACAAAGCAATGTGCTGACACAGTAAAACACGCACACAAAGCACACACAGTAAAATAGCACACAGATAACCCTGTGATCGCCCCAGATGTTAAACCCTTCCTGCCCAGTGTCATCAGTACAGTGTCAGAGCTTTTTATTAGCACTGATAACTGTATTAGTGTCATTAGGATGTCAGTGGAAGTTAGTCAGTTCCAGGGGCGGACTGACCTTTTGTAAACTCGGGCACTGCCCTGCCGAGGGCCCGGGGTCAGTAGGGGGCCCCATGAGATGCCCCTGGTACCTTTTTCATAGGCTTATTTGAGTTTGGGCAAGGACACAGGGTCCCATGATCCCCTATTGCCCGGGGGACCCATGAGTTGTCTGTCTGCCCCTGGTCAGTTCCCCCCAGTGTCAGAATGCCTGCCGCAGTCCCTCAGTCCCGCTATAAGTCGCTGATTGCCACCATTACTAGTATAAAAAAAAAAATTCCAGTATACTGTATATACACCTCTATTTGTAGAAGCTATAAGTTTCACGCAAACTAATTAATTTACATGTATTGATTTTTTTAAGCAAAGGCATGTAGCAGAATATATTTTGGTTTAAATGTATCACGAAATTTGACTTTTAAAAAATTTTTTTACTGGACATGTTTAATACCAAAAAGTAAAACATATTGTTTTTTTTCTCAAAATTGGCAGTCTTTTTTTTTTTTTTAGCTCAAAAAATAAAAAACACAGAGGCGATCAAATAACACCAAAAGAATGCTCTATATGTGGGAAAAAAAGGACATAAATTTCATTTGAATACAGTGTTGAATGAGCGTGCAATTGTCAGCTAAAGTAATGCAACACCGTATTGCAAAAATGGCCTGGTCAGGAAGGGGGTAAATCCTCTAGAGGGCAAGTGGTTAAAGTGACACTGAACTGGATTAACCACTTGAGCTCCAGAGGATTTACCCCCCTTAATGACCAGGCCTCTTTTTGCTACTCAGCGCTGCACTAATTCAACTGATAATTGCGCGGTCATGCAATGCTGCACCCAAACAAAATTTACGTCTTTTTTTCACACAAATAGAGCTTTCTTTTGGTGGTATTTGATCATCTGTGTGCTTTTTATTTTTCACGCTATAAAAAAAAAGGCCAAAAATTTTGAAGAAAAACAATATTTTTTACTTTCAGCTATAAAAAATATATAGTAAACTCAAAGTTGGTTATAAATTTAGGCCAAAATGTATTCTGCTACATGTTTTTGGTAAAAAAAAAATCCCAATAAGTGTATATTGATTGCTTTGTGTGGAAGTTATAGCGTCTACAAACTATGGTATAAATACTGCAATTTACGCCATTTTTCTGCTATACAGCGCTGCGCTAGTTTAACGGACAATTGCGCGGTCATGCAATACGGTACATAAATGAAATTTACATCCTTTTTTTTTCCCACAAATTGAGCTTTCTTTCGGTGGTATTTGATCGCCTGTGCGGTTTTTATTTTTTGCGCTATAAAAAAAAAGGCTGACAATTTTGAGGAAAAAAAAACTATTTTGGGACTTTTTGCTGTAAAACATGTCCAGTAAAAAAAAATGCAAAAATCAAATTTAGTCATAAATTTCTGCCAAAATGCATTCTGCGACATGTCTTTGCTAAAAAAAAAAGCCAATACGTGTAAATTAATTGGTTTACGTGAAAGTTATAGCGTTTAGAAATGGCGGGAAAGATACTGGGATTTTTAGGGTTTTTTTTATACTAATAATGGCGGCGATCAGCGAATTATGGCAGCGATCAGGGACTTATGGCAGCGACCAGCGACTTATGGCGGGACTGCGGCGGACATTCTGACATTGGGGGGTACTGACTTGGGGTCACTGACATCCCCAAAAACACTAATACAGTGATCAGTGCAAAAAAAAATCACTGACACTGTACTAATGGCAATGGGGAGGAAGGGGTTAACTTTATTTTGCAGGGAAGGGGGTTATAGGAGTGAGGGGAGTGTTTTATTAGGGGGCGGGGGTGTGTACTGCATGGGACAAGGCTGATCGAGAAAGAGAAACTGTTCTTTCTCGATCAGCTCATCCTCAAGCTGACAGGGAAGTGACAGACAGCACAGCTACTTCAGCTGTGCTGTCTGTCACTGTTTGCCGCCGATCGCCAGGACATAGCCGCTAAGGAGCAGCTGTGACCCGGCGACTGACATCTGCGGCGGTGATCCGCGGGACAGATAGGGCGGCGGCGCGCCTCACGCGCGCGGCCCCTATTTGTTTACAAAACACACGTTTTAAAACGTGGTTTTGCCTGCGAGTGCCGCCCTGCCGCCGTATATGTACAGTGGCTGGGCAGCATGTAGTTAAAACAATATATTCTATTCTAGCACTGTATGTATTCTTAACTCAAAAAAAAATCTTTTGCTATCATCCTTTCTCCAAAAGGAGAGCTTTGGGAGCTCACATAGGATGTTACAAATAAGAAAAATACATTAAGCCATGATTTTCTGAAAAAAACAGATTACACGGCCAGTACGTAGTGGATACATACAGATTATTTTTTAAAAATAAGGATATCGTTTAGTGTCACTTTAACGATAATGTAATAATTACTGAGCCTCATTAATTTTTGTCTAATATATATTCCCGGAGTTCAACTTTATATTTAAATGGGACTTTGCAAAATTACAGCTTGGGTGTAAATTGCATTTCCTAAAGTTCCTTAACGAATATAAATTATCTGAAAACTGTCCAGCCATGAATCCTTATCTTGCCGGAGCAAACACTAAAAACTGGTTGAGTAACTTGTAAGGTGACCATGGCTGGGTCAGTAGTCTGAATGAATAAGCACGCAATTTCCTCTGCTGAAAACATTTTGGAATGCTTGAATACAATAATTTGATTTTGCTATAATGAATTTCCTTCCTGAAGATAAAGTGAAACTACATGAAAAATAAAAAATGACATACTGATACTGTCTGCCATTAGCATTAACACAACAGTTAACTTTGTTTTTCTATGCCCCCACAGAACATAGTTGTATTAATTGGAGATCCAGCCAGTAAGTGTGTTTTTTAAAAACTTCCTTTAAAAGACCAAACTGTCCAGCAAATGTAGTGGCTAGAGGATGAAAGTGTTACTAAACCCAGGTCCCTGCATTCACTATATCTGGTCTCCCTCAGTACACAGAACATGGAACTGCAATTATTTTAGTAAAAATAAACTACTAAATACCTTTTCTCACCAGCAGTTAGAGCAGCCTTGTGACTTCTATCAGTGTTCAGCCACCCCCACGCAGAGCACTGCTTACAGCTTATTGGAGTTTTCATTTTGCTCTAGGAGGATGCAGAACCCCTGCCCTCTGTCTGGACAGTGCTGTTTGGGCCCTGTGCTGATCACATGCGCTCTCCCAAGAAAAAAAAAAGCCTCTCTAGAAATACACCCCAAATTGAGCATATGTAGAGTGAATGCACACGATAAGTCTTATCAGGAGGTAAGAGGGGGACACTGGAAGAACGGGAGGATCAGAGAAGCCAGGATCAAACAGCCTTTTTACAAAATGCAGAGGATTAACCCCTTAGGTTCCACAGTGATTACAACAAGCCTGCTTTACTGCATATATAGCCTGATTTTACTGTTGTGGGTTTAGTAACACTTTAAAACAAACCATTTAACACTGACAGGAGTAATTGCAATGGTTAGCTTTTATTAATTTAGTTAAAACCTTTTTTCCCAAAAGGAAAAGAAAACTGTTTCTGTAATGGCTCAAAAATTATTAGATGAAGTTAGGAGGATCTCCCATCTCTAGAAAAATGTTAAACACTGTAGCTGCTGACTTTTAGGACACTTACCTTTCCAGGGATCCAGTGATGTCCTCGCTCAGGTCAGTTCTTCAAAGGTCTTTAGGTCCCTGGCACTGGCATATTTACTAAGTGAATCCATCTGTGACTCCTTGCAGCTTCATAGCTGGCCTCCCACTGCGCATGCGCAAGTTGCACTGCGGTTTGCGAATGGTCATGCAGCCTCTGGGGAACTGTGCTGTGGTTGCAGGCGTGGGGAGATGAAAAACTTCCAATGGAATCGCCTAGGAAGTGAAAGCGGGCACCTAGCAAAAACTAAGTATCCGCTCCCCCCCAAAAAAATAAACCTAATGTTGGGGGGGTCAAGCATTCTTAAAAGCAGAACTTCCCATTTATGGTGACGTTCCGCTATGGGATTTAATTTGTTTGTTAATGTGTCCACTGTTTTTTGTTCTTTTGTTTTAAAAAAGGAAACCTAGTGCAGCCACTACATCCAATCTGCAGAATATTACACACAGCCCGATTTACAAACATCCAACTTACATACGACTCATACTCAAGAATGGAGGTCCCAGAAACTGCCGGGTGGCCATCTTGCTGCTCACTGCATGCTGCCACCTACTCTCTGTGTGGACCTGTCAGCAATCCCACATCACTGTATGGCCAGTTATCCCTTCCCTATGCTATCCAAAATTAAAAACTAAAAATAATTGTTTGGCTGTACCTGCTCCAACTTACATACAAATTCTCCTTAAGAACAAACCTACTGTTCATAAATCGGAGACTGCTTGTATTTGTTTTTGGATTTAAATACACTAAGCAACACTTATAAAGGGTCATACATGAACTCCCAAAAATCCATTGAGAACAGACCTATTAATGTAGCCGAGCCAAACAACAATCTGGTATTCAGCAAAAGGAAGGTCTTCACATCTGCTGTGGTTAAAGAACACCAAAAATGCAATAGTGTGTAAAATGAGAAAGCTTTAAATCGGTAGCAAACCGCATCCTTTATTAAAAATCCCCTACAAGGTAAAGACATAATGTGCTAGTATGCATTGCATACTACCACATTATGTAAAACTTACCTAAAATCAAGCCCTCCAGCGGCGCACTGTCACCACTGTAGAGGTTTCTATCTTCACCTGGTCTTGCTTCCGAGTTCACGAGCTTCGTCCATCTGACTACCTGGGCTGAGATGATGTCACTCCCATGCATACGCACTGGAGTCTCGGGACACGGCACAGTTCTCTGAATGAACGACACGGGTATGCCGTTCCTTCAGAGCGCATGCGCCGGCTGCAAAAAAACTTGAATATCTTAAATATTCATTTTACCTACAGGTAAGCTTTATTACTCATAGCTGACAGGTCTGCAGGAGACCTGCATGGCATAAGCTAAAAAGTTGCATAGTTAGTCTGGCTGAAAAAAAACAAAAGTCCATCCAGTTCAACCATTAAAAAAAAAAGTTATAATAAAGCTTACCTGTAGGTAAAAATATACAGAGTGGGTTTACTACCACTTTAATAAAGTTAAAATCAATAGTTACACTCACCTGTCTGGAAAGTAGTAAGCACTTGTAGCTGGCCTCTAGATGGTAATAATTACCAGAAAAATAAACAGGCAGCATTTAACAAGATGGCTTAGTGGTTAGCACTTCTGTTGGGCTGTACTATGCTCATGGGTTTGAATCCCAACCATGAAGACTACCTTGAATACAGCACCCACCACCCAGAGATAAGTATTGTGCCTACTGAGATTTATATTAGTGCAGACTTCGATAGTGTCTTTGGGGTTTATTTACTAAAGCTGGAGAGTGCAAAATCAGGCTGACTTCTGCATAGAAACCAATCAGCTTCCAGGTTTTTATTGGCAAAGCTTAAAGGATAAGTTCACCTTTGGGAACATGTTACAGCTCAGTGTTTGCTGGAGACACACTGCTCTGTGTGCACCCATTTTTGGATGGAACATGTAACATGTTCCCATAGCTGCAACCTCTCCCGGTGCCCCCCTCCCTCTAATAGATAATACAGGGAGAAGCTTCCCCATACTATCTGTCAGATTTCAAAACAGTGCAGTGGTGTGGGGCTCGGACTTCCGTGAATAAATGAACTGCAAGTCCCGGCAGCCTTAGCGTCTGTGGGCTTGTAGTTTTCCATGAACTACCACGGTGCTGTGGAGCTCCATGGTAGTTCATTGAAGCTTCCTGTCAGAAAATCTGCTTGTTTGTACATCCCATACAACAAGCAGATATTTTGACAGGTCTGCAGGAGACCTGCATGGCATCAGCAACATAGTTACATAGTTAGTCTGGCTGAAAAAAGACAAAAGTCCATCCAGTTCAACCATTTAAAAAAAAAGTTATAATCTTATACCCACAGTTGATCCAGAGAAAGGCAAAAAAAGCCCAGCAAAGCATGATCCAATTTGCTTCTGCAGGGGAAAAAAAATCCTTTCTGATCCCCCAAGAGGCAAGCGTATATTCCCTGGACCAACTTTACCAATAAATGTTAGTATCCAGTTATATTCTGTGTATCTAAGAAACAATCCAGGCCTTTTTTAAAGCAATCCACTGAGCTGGCCAGAACCAACTCTTGAGGGAGTCTATTCCACATTTTCCCAGTTCTCACTGTGAAGAAACCTTTCCCTGTTTGGAGATGAAACTTCTTTTCCTCCAGATGTAAAGAGTGCCCCCTTGTCCTCTGTGATGACCTCAGGGTGAATAGCTCTACACCGAGTCCTTTGGACAAAAATAATAAATGCACATTTTTTTACCTGCAAAAAATGTGCATTTATTATTTTTGTCCAAAAGGTGAACTTTCATTGAAGAAGTTGAGGTTAGATTTGTATCTATGAAAGTGAGCCTAATTTTGCACTCTCCAGCTTTAGTAAATAAACCCCGAAGAGTCACACTCTTGGGGGTAAGAAACACACTTACTGGCTGGATCTCCAATTAATACAACTATGTTCTGTGGGGGCATAGAAAAACAAAGTTAACTGTTGTGTTAATGCTAATGGCAGACAGTATCAGTATGTAATTTTTTATTTTTCATGTAGTTTCACTTTATCTTCAGGAAGGAAATTCATTATAGCAAAATCAAATTATTGTATTCAAGCATTCCAAAATGTTTTCAGCAGAGGAAATTGCGTGCTTATTCATTCAGACTACTGACCCAGCCATGGTCACCTTACAAGTTACTCAACCAGTTTTTAGTGTTTGCTCCGGCAAGATAAGAAGGATTCATGGCTGGACAGTTTTCAGATAATTTATATCCGTTAAGGAACTATAGGAAATACAATTTACACCCAAGCTGTAATTTTGCAAAGTCCCATTTAAAAAGTTCCATTTTACTGGGTCGGGTTAATTACGCAACTAACCCTCTACTGCCACCAGCACTTTTGTTGGAGACTGGGAAACTCCCATTATCAAATATACACTATAATGATTGAAAAGTCTCCTGTCCAATATGGTCACCGCAGGCCGATTGGGCAGAGGATTAAACAAACACAGTAGCGTCTCTTCAAAGGCAGGAATTTGTGAATTGCAAGTAAGCGCTTAGAAACAGTTTAACACTTTCAGAAAGAAAGATTTATTACTAAAAGAGTCAAACAGGTGCAATAAAATATTTACAAAGAAAATGTAACTATATATATATATGCATATAAAGGTACAGCAAAGAGATACTAGGAAGGAAATTAAAGAGTTAAGTTACTTGCCAATATGCCTTGGTTTGTAAGCAGATCCAAGTGCAGAGCAGGAAGGGTCTTTGATCTCCTCTGTTACGATGTTAAACTCTGGAGATGTGTGCCTTGAACTTACCTTTCAGGCTTGCAGCCTGTCCTTTTTAAAAATCCCTCTGGAGGGGGAAAAGGGGGGGCTCTGACTCTGCCCAATACAATATTTTGGGCCGGAGGTCAGTGGACTCTCAATTAAAACTAACAGCTTCATACTCCATGATATGAAACATACAGTTGCAATAAAAAGTATGTGAACCCCCTGGGATTACGTGGAGTTTTGCATGAATTGGGCATAAAATGTGCTCTGAACATCATCTAAGTCACAACAATAGGAGAACACAGTCTGCTGAACATAATACTACACAAACATTAGATGTTGCCATGGTTTAATTGCACATAACATGTAAACATTCAGAGTTCAGGGAGGAAAAAGTATGTGAACCTTTGGACTTAATAACTGGTTGACTCTCCTTTGGCAGCAATAACCTCAACCAAACGTTTCCTGTAGTTGCAGATCAGACCTGCACAACGATCTGGAGTAATTTTGGACCACTCCTCTTCACAAAACTGTTTCAGTGTAGCAAAATTCTTGGGATGTCTGGTGTGAATCGCTCTCTTAAGGTCATGCCACAGCATTTCAATCGGGTTGAGGTCAGGACTCTGACTGGGCCACTCCAGAAGGCGTATTCTGTGCTGTTGCAGTCATTGTTTTGTTGAATTACTTGTATGCTTTGGGTCATTGTCCTGTTGCATCACCCATCCTCTGCGGAGCTTCAGTTGGCGGACAGATGGTCGTACGTTTTCCTGCAAAATGTCTTGATAAACTCTAGAATTCATTTTCCCATCAATGACAACAATCCGGCCAGACCCTGAGGCAGCAAAGCAGCCCCAAATCATGATGCTCCCTCCGCCATGTTTTACAGTGGGAATGAGGTTTTGATGTTGGTGTGCTGTGCCTTTTTTTCTCCACACATAGTGTTGTGTGTTCTTCCCAAACAACTCAATCTTGGTTTCATCTGTCCACAGTATATTTTGCCAGTAGTGCTGTGGAACATCCAGGTGCTCTTTTGCAAACTTCAAACGTGCTGCAATATTCTTTTTGGACAGCAAT